ATATGCTGATTTGCTGCTTGAGAAACATTTCTATATTTTGATACATTGATACATTCTATTTATATTTTGATGAATAGAATGTTCAAAACAACATTTATGTGGTATTGAATTTTTTTGAACATTGTAACATAAATGTGTCCTTTATAAACAAAAGTATTAATCTCTTTTGAATGACAGTATACACTATTTCATTACTTTCTGTATTGCATTTTAATTTTACTTCAAACATTTTAAAGTTTGAAAATATAAAACTGTGTTAACAGCATATTGTTTCCACAAAAATTAGTGTGAGATCACACAACAATTTGCAGACCCCATGATGACCCTAATTATCTGGCTGATGACGTGTTTTGAGCATTTGGGAAGTGTTGAGGTCCTTTGTGTCGATGTGCAGGATTTCTAGAGGAACATTCTGAGCTCAGCTGCAAACTATGTTTATTTTCTTCTGGGTCTGCAAGAGTGAAAGTTCGCTCACTCTTCCTGCCATGACTAACTGCGTAATACCTCATGTTGTTATTTAGCTGTTAGTCACTCTAATGGCTGAGGCAGTGCACAGGAATGTCTTTCACGTAAGGTCACTTCCACATCTCAAACTTTCTCTCTGACTTTCCTTCTCTGCCCACTCCAACTTTCTAAATCTTCAGAGTCACTGCCAACCATTTAGCAGTGCCATTTGCCTCTCTGTCTCTCTGTCTGTCTCTCTCTCGCTCTCTCTTCTGCCCTGAACGGAGCGAGTTGGCACATGGGCAAGCTGGCACTCTTCAGTACGGTTAATTGTACTTTGTTCTTGCTTGAGAAAAAGAGGGAGGGATAGAGTGAATGTGAGAGATAGAGAGAGGGAGAGAAAGCAGAAAGAGCGATCTAAAATGGCTGCCAACAGCAAACCTCCTCTCTGCTCATGAAATGTCTGCCAAAAAGCAAAAAAAAAAACGTAAATGGCTGATTCCTGGCTTGAAATGTAGCTTGCATGAATAGAAATAGAAACAACTTTCACTGGAAGCAACCTCGCTTTTATTGCAGTGACCGTTTTAGTATGGAAAACACATACAAGGACAAAAAGTTCTGAAGCGAGGGGCCATCAAATCATTAACATGCTAAAGATATTACACGAAGCAGAAGCTAGACGCAAAAATGGTTCTGTTGAAGAAGGAAGTCATCCTCTTGATAGGTCAGAGAACATTTCTCGGGTTACTAATTGACTAGGCTTACGTGTCCAGATCGCACGACAGGTTGTAGTCCGACTAAGGAAAGCTACCAAAGCGTTTCAGTTTTGGAGCGCTTTACAAAATGGCGCGCTTGAGAGAAAATGGACGTTGTATGAGCACATTTTATTGCATCATATTTTCTACTGCCATTCTTCTTTTATTTCCGTTGTGAATGTTACCTGCGTTTTCCCTTAGATTTGTGTGAAAAATAGTTTTGCGATTGGATTAGGTTTCGTTTTTTCATTACTGTGTCACTTTTTGAGAAATCGCCTTACAAAATGGCAAACACTACTCCATGCACCACAAAGAAAATGTCCGTCGTTCAAACACATAAGATTGCATCATATTTTCCATCTGCCTTTTTACTTTTTCTTCTTGGACTTATGTTGGAAACGAAATGTGGAGCTCTCGGTTGAAGCGATTCCCCTCTTATTTACGTTTTATATTTTGGTGTCTTCAGCTTCACGGATCCTTTTGGACACAGATGTGTCAGAGGTGCTCTGTGCCAATATCTCCCTCAAACTGACACTTTTATTTTTCCTTCCCTCCGATTCTCCTTGCCAGAGATTTGGTCTGAGGGCTGCTTGCCTAGAAACTACCGCAGCTTTTGGCAGGCGCATACAGGACTCTGAAGACGGTCATGGAGGAGAAAAGCAGAGGGAGAGAGAACTGGAGCGTGTCCCTCTGTGTAGCTGGCAGCACTAATCATCCTGGCCTGCGAAGAATCGCAACGATGACAGACATGTTTGTTTATGCTTTGTATTGGGTTATTTTTTATTTTTAATTTGCCGCACTTTTAAGCATTGCTCGTCTTCTCTGGAATAGACTTCAGACCTCTCAGCATCCATCTGTCTCCTACTGTTTAAGGCCTCTCCAATTTTTCATAATCAAAACATTGAGTATTATGGCCCGGGTCCAACCGCTTCCTTTGGAATGTCATTGAACTTTTGAAGATTTATAGGGTTTATAATTCTTTTTTTCCCCCCAGACCATGTGTATTTTACTTACAACAACATAATTAGGCTGCACTTTGCACATATATTTTAAGAAAACATTTAATATTTTGTGTGCAGGGGAAAATTATGCTGGCATCATTATCCAAGTGGGCGGATTGAAGACTAGTTGTGATGTTAAAGTCAACATAAAATCCAAATTGCCCATATTTTTTTTCTAATGCACATTCCTGGTCTTGCTGTGATTTATTCAGCGGTAGCTTTTATTCCAAAGGTAAAAAAAGACTTTCTGGTTACATAACTTAGGCCATTCAGGCTGTTGGGTGATGTTAACCAGTTTAGCAAAACTGCTTTCACTTTACTTCACAACTCCACTTTTTATGATCTAAACCTACTCTTGTTGGGCGATATGCCCCATAGTCATATCATCCTATCATCAGCCTATGAGAACGCCAGTGCAGGATATTGTCATGCTAATTTTTTTAATTATTTACTTATTTAGTTTTAAAGCCGGAGAGTGCCCCAACTCCAGGGTAAGGCTAAAAGCAGCCTAATGTTAGTGTAATCTATTAACTACAAATTATATCTTTTTAGTCAAGTAGCATATGGATGTCATGACATTCCTCAGTTCAAACAGCAACTACAGAAAACAAGCAAAGAACATTTACATTATAAAACAACATCCTCACTCCCTTTATAGTCCGTGAAGCTGTCTACACTGTATGATGAATAAATCTCTTATACTTACTTTGCACGCACATCTGCACTTTGTTGTTTATGATGAGAGAATTCGCAAGAGAGCAGAATTCAGTCAGCGAGCGTGCAACAAAAAAACAACAAAACTTAAAACGCAACAACAAATCTCCGCTGTTTCAGCAATGACTCATCTGAATGCCTCTGATTAGCCATTGCATTCATAAACTCAATGGTGTGTAAAAAAAAAAATGTGTAAAAAGAAATATGGTGGAGCAAATAAGCTCTGATATTAATTAGATAATACTACTAGCCTGATAATAATAATAATTGTCTTGATATTGTCAAAGGCATTAGCCACAGGCGATATCTCTGACTATTGTCGATACACAATACTATCGTCTATCGGCACAACCCTAAAACCTACCTTACATTTTGTTTAGCTGAATATCCTGTTATAATTGGAAATACGTCAGATTATGGAAGAAAAACAGGTTGCAAACTCAAATTCTCTGACTTTTATTGAATTAGTTATAAAAAAATAGATATTGCCGCTGCTTGTGTGTTTTCATGTGTCTTGAGCAGTAGTTTGCGGTTGGCCTCTGAGTCCTGCAGGCCACAAAGAGTGTGAGAGTCGTAATGAAGCGTTGCATTCAGACGTGTGCAGCCGGTCGGACTCTCCTCGGCTTTGAACTGGCAGTGGCGTGCGGCCCATCTGATAGGGAGCTCTCTTATTTATTTATCCAGCTTGAGCTTTTTTACTGGCTTTTCTTTGAACGCCTGCCAGAGTCCTTGTGGTAACGCCTCTATTCTTTCATTCCCTATTCAGAAAATCCTCTGCCGCTTCTTGACTCGAATTCGTTTTATGTGTCTATCTGAGTTTTCCCTCACATCCGTGTGGCAAAGAGCTGGAACACACACAAATGGGAAGGTTTTATGGTTGGATTAGGTTGTTTTGTCATTATTGTGTTGCTTCAATGAGTTTACACTTTGGCAATACAATCCCTGTGCTCTGCCAGTGAAGAGGGTTCAACGAGATTATGCTCGGCCTTGCCAAACAAGTTGAAAAGAAAGAGAATATTTGAATGGTTTTGAAGCACTTTGATACGGTGTGTTTCTCATTTACGAGCCTCAGCTCGTCAGGGTATCAGAGCGCATGACTGTATCAGTAACCTATGAGTGATTTATTTAAAACATACAGTGTTCGCTTTCTCTGTTGTTTATACAGAAACATGTTCTTATGTTGGATTACCAAAGCTATCACTGACATGATCAACCACACGCCAACATGTCAGAGGTTTCTGTTCATTGAACATACGCTTATAGATTCTTGGACTCAAGTTCTAACGCTGCTGCAATTTGCTTATGATTGCCATTTATAAAACTGCTGCATGTATAAAATCAGAGTAATCATTCAAATGCTTATTATTTGTATGTTTTATATTCATATTTTGCTGGCGTAGTTGACTAGTTGTTCAGTAATTCAGATTTTCACTTGCCCTGCTAAGATTTTATGTAGCCTGGAAAAAGACCCCTAAATTTTAGCATATATTTTTTATAATGTTTATATTTATATTGTTATTTTATGCTTTTTTATAATTTTTGCTATAGTCTGTTTTGTTTAAGTGGAAAAAAATTTTTTTTATAATGTTTAGGTTTATATGTTTTTTTTTTTTATATTTATATTTTTGTTTATTTAAAAAATACTTGAGCAGGAACATAAACCTGTATTTATTTCCAGGACATTAGTACTCAAATAATGCAGTGTTGTTGTATTTTTTTATTATTATTATTATTTTCAGATTTACAGTTTATTTCCCATTCAAAAATAACATATCAACTTTTACCTCGAGGTCAACAGGCTTTGCATCCTATCATGTTCAGATACAATTGATTTCACTTGACCTGAATATGTGCAATATTATATAAAAATTATATATAATATATATAATTATACAATTGCATAAAAACATAAGATCAATGCATGTGACATTTAAGGTTTGATCCACCATAGTGTGAAAATTGTTGTACAAAATCAGAATATTGACCTCAATTCTCCAGGCCTCTTTCCAGGTCTTTATATATCTGTTAAGAGAATCTGCTGAGTTGAGGACTAATGTCTCTCTCTGTCTCTCTTTGTCTTTCTCAGAAGCTGAACAGAGCAGTAGTCCTCGCACAGGCATTGGTTCAGATCAGGAGGACAGTCGAGCAGCCACCATGGGTAAGAGAGCACATGTACACACACATTCACACAACCACATGTACAGGAATACTTGCATATACTGTGTGCTGCAGCGTACAGTGCGGTGCAGTCCTGTAAGCTTCCTATCCTGCACTATACAAACATCCTGTTTACACAAGTCAGCCTACATGCATGGCTTCAAACCCATACCCACACACTGAATCTCTCTCTCTATCTCTGCCCAGTTCGTGTCACACTCGTACCCACATTGCCCTGTTTCAACAGAGATAGTCTGAAAGGCCAGCACTTTATTATGCATCACGTGTGGTTAAAAGTCTAGCTCAGTTTTTGGGGAAACTCTAGATAGTAACGATCAGGACGGTGGTTTTGTTCACATATTCAGTCCTGCTCATAATGCTGTGGTATTATTATGAGACTGATGGGGTGGCTGAAGTACTTTACTGTGTCCATTGACAACTGTTTAAAATTGGTTTGTCAATTTTATTTGAGTTACAGTGCATATAATATTATATACCAATTAATTAGTGGTTATTGTAATGTGATTATACCTTACTATTCAAAAGTTGTGTTCAGTAAGATAGAGAAACCCTCAAATTAAGGTAATTCAAAAGGCAGTAAAACATTGTATCTGAAACTTCCTGTTGTCCATAATTCACTCCAATCTGTGTGTACTAGCTGAACAGACTCTGCTTATGTAAAACTTTGACATTCATTCATTTAGTAGATGCTTTTATCCAGAGTGACTTAGAAATGAAAACTAAATTGAATTTCTTTGTGCGTGAGATGCTGGTGATATCCTTGTGTTGGAAAGTTCCATCATTTATTCCATGTTTTATTTTGTTTAACAGATGCTCCAGAGTTTCAAGAGAGCTTTGTAACTTCGGGCGTCTTCAGTGTAACAGAACTGGTGCAAGTATCAAGAAGTGAGATGCTTTTGTATTTTGTATAATATACTTAAAAGGACAGTTCACCCAGAAGTAAAATCTGGGTTGAATTATCATAATTTAGTGTCATACAGCTTCAGAATTTTTTTAGAATGCCATGAGGGTGAGTAAATAAAGACAAAATTTACATTTTTGTGTGAACTGTCCCTTTAAAAGTATCTCTGGGAGTCTGATGCGTTTTAGTGAATCATTTTCTTGTCTTCCTATCTCATCTGTCCCTTCCCACCTCCCACATAGCAGACGCAAGCGTCAATTTCACAGCCGTTTTATGTCGGCTTTGACAGCTCCTCATTAGAAGGGAAGGAATCCCACCAGTCTGTCCAACGTAATTGATTGTGTTTAGCTGAAATTATTTTCTTCTTCCCAGTTGGCTTATAAGTGAGTCAAATAAGCGAGACCGCTGTGTATCACTCCTCACACCTGTGTGCAGTCACAGTGTTTTACAAGTTACAAACAAACTGATAGATTGCGAATGGAGACTAATTGAATGTCTTAATGTGCATTGTGCAGTTTTATCAGCATTACCAACCCAACATGCTCAAACCAGGTTTTTTTTTATTTATTTTTTTATTTTATTTTTACTCCTACACAATATTTGATGTAAGCGTTCATATACTGTAGGTCAGTCATGCTGGAACAACAAGCCCATTGTTCCCGCTTTGTATTTACATACAACACATTCAGACATAACTGAACACACACAATACAGCCTGTCCATTAAGCTCGAGCAATTACTGTGCATTCCAACACACACACAGAGAGTAATGGAATGATATTTGGAAAGAGGTCAGCTCAGGTAAGAGCAGACAAGCAGTGGCACAGATTCATGAGCCTCGCGTGGGCTTAAACATGAATGTGTGAGATTACACCCACATGATGCAAGTATTTAACAAGTCGTGCTGCAAAACTCCAGTTTACTGTACACTAGATAGCCATCACTATACTGTGATCGTTTGCTGTACACTAGATAACAATCACCAATGTTAACCATGTGAGTAAAGAGACTAAGTCACGGCTCAACTCCAAATATTCCTCTATGTGAAGGTGCTAAGGGATTTATCAGAATGTACGCTACTACCGTTTTTACTGTCCCATACAATAAGTAATGAGGCATTGCCTTGGTACAGTGAAGGCATCAAGTTTTCTACCATGGTACTTTAATATATCCCATGGTACTGAATGACTATTTTCATTTACCAGGCTAGGCTATTTCAAAGAATATTATGATATTACAATTACAATGTTCTAAAAACATGGCATTATAGTAATACCATATCCAAAAAAACATGGCAATACAAAGTACTTTTTTAGTCATTGTTGCGATAAACACACTACCGAATAAAGGTTTGAGGTCAGATTTTATTTTAAAGAAATTCATACTTTTATTCAGCAAGGATGCCTTAAATTGATCAAAAGCAACAGCAAAGATATTTAGAATGCTGTTCTTTTGAATTTTCTTTTCATCAAAGAATGCTGAACAAAATGTTGTACAAAAATATCAAGCAGCTGTTTTCAACATTAAAAATTATAAGAAATGTTTCTTGAGCACCAAATCAGCATTATTTCTTTTTTTTAATTTAATTTATTTTTGGCATTTTTGCCTTTATTACGATAGGACAGATCAGAACTGACAGGAAGCGAAGTGAGAGAGATTGGGGAGTGGGATTGGGAAAGGCCCTCAAGTCAGGATTCGAACTCGGAATGGCTTTAGCGCAACAGCGCTGTATGTCAGCGCACTGCCCACAATGCTATCTACGCCGATTACAATTATTTTTGAAGGATCATGTGACACCAAAGACTGAAGCAATGATTCTGAAAATTCAGCTTTGCCATCACAGGAATAAATTATTTTTTTTAAATATATTAAAATAGAAAACATTTATTTTAAATTTTAATCATATTTCAGAATATTGCTGTACTGTATTTTTGATCAAACAAATGCACCCTTGGTGAGCATAAGACATTTTCAAAAACATAAAAAATATTATTGACTCCAAACTTTTGAATGCTAGTGCATGTTTGTTTGATTGTTTTTACAGATACATAATATTTAAATAAATACATAAAATTGTTCTACATCAAATGTTTTTTAAGCTTTAACTGTTATATGCTTATCATAACCTCTGTATGTGTGTGTGTGTGCAGCACCGGTGGTGACGGGCACGGGGCCGAACTTCTCTCTCGGAGAGCTGCAGGGTCATCTTGCTTATGATCTGAACCCTTCAGGGGTGGGAATGAGGAGAACCCTTCCCAGCACCTCCTCTAGCGGGTCAGTACACACATCTCCACCATACATCTGCCTGCAGCAGCCACACATCCTTTTGTCAAAGGCACTGTGTCCTTGAGCTACTTTTGACTTGTGATGAGATCCAACCTGTGTTTGTATGTGTGTGTGTGTGTGTGTATGTGTGTGTGTGTGCATGTGTATGTACAGTACATGGTTTCAAAAGAATCAAAAAAAGACCGAAATCAAGCCACATCTGTTTAATATGTTAAATTGTCTCAAATTAAAATAAGGACTCCATCCATGTCCAGCTTTGATGAAGTCATGAACATCCTCTGATTCAGTCCAGTGGTACAATCTGATATTAATTAAGGAGTAAACCAGATTTTACCATATTGCCCACAGTTGTTGTCAAATTGTTCTGGTGATGTCCATAAGTAATGACCTTTTACCCTTTGTTTTTAAATGACTGTCCTTTTCATAAGGAACTGTTTTTTTCTATTTATAAGATAGATATAGAACACTTTTATTCAGGTATTATTTATGTATTTAATGTAGTTTTTTTCTGTAACTGAAAATATATCTGTCCACAATATAAACTCTAAAGGCAACTTTCACAAAGAGATTTAAATGTATTACTATATATATATATATCCACTACAGTGTACAGATTTGCAGATTTCTCAAAAAGCTGCATTTTACATAAAAAAGATTAGAAATTATTAGGGCTGCACGATAAATCGCATGCGATATTTAATGCGCATCTTGTCAGAAAGCCGGTTCTGTAATCAGCAGTAAATCTCCATCATGTGCGTGCTTTCAGATTGAGCAGCATTAACTACACAGAGCCGTTGTTCACTGACGAGCTGAGCAAAAAATCGCGCGAATGTGAACGTGGTTTTGCGCAGCTCGTCAGTGAACAACGGCTCTGTGTAGTTAATGCTGCTCAATGTGAAAGCACGCACGTGATGGAGATTTACCGCTGATTACAGAACCGACTTTACTGATAAGATGCGCTTTAAATATCGCATGCGATTTATCGTGCAGCCCTAGAAATTATTTTACTTTTAGTTGAGTACATTTTGGCATATTTTATTTCATAATTATTGTATCAGAGAGTTCACTGATTTAACTTTTATTTCTGCTCCAACAAAAGCTGTAGTGGCATCCAACCCAATTACCTCAAGACCAGAAGCAACAACGGCTACATTGTAGATGTTTGTACACCAGCTGTTGTTTTTGAGTTTGGTGGTCCTTTTTGTTGCCATGAATGCAACAGCCTGCAGCAGTTGCTGACTGGTTCAAACCAAAATATGTTTGGCCTATTTATCCGAACCAGGCTGAAACTGTGGAGCATGTGAGATTTCAGGTCGGTTAGACAAGGCTTTGAGAGTTTTAAATGTACCTGTCAGCATCTCGCCATGATAAATGTTGGCCGTTAACTGTTTCTGTATTGGCTGAATTAGACAGAGGGAGCCCGAGGCATTTTGAGCTCAAGACACCGGTACACCTCGGTTGACAATAAGATTTGTCATGTGTGCGTCACGGCGATACACAAAGCTGAATAAAAACATCACAAAACTACATCCTTACATGCACCTGGGAAAGATGAGTGAGTGTGAAAGAACACGGCCCCTCGCTCAGGTCTGCTGAGGGCAGTTTATTTGATTTATCTGCTTTTGTGGTTAGCCAAAGCCTCAGTCCTGATTAATGCGCTTATTTTCCATTAAACGCACTGCAAAGCTAAAACAAAAGGTGAATGTTGGCAAACTGCTCGTCGTAGCTGAGTGTCTGGGAAAAGCAGGTCCAAAGGAACATCCATAAGGCACGTCCAGACAGTTTGGGAGAGCATTTGTTTGTCTGTGTAAGAAATAAAGTTTGACTAAACAATGCTTTTCTCCATCATTCATTTTTTTTTTCTTCTCTTTCTCCTTTTTTACTCACACAGAAGTAAGAGACACAAGTCAGGATCCATGGAGGACGATATAGACACCAGCCCAGGGGGCGAGTACTACACCTCTCCCAACTCCCCTGCCAGCAGTTCACGCAACTGGCAAGAGGAGATGGAAGGAGGTGAGCCTTTTTGTTTGATCTTACAAGACAACATTTTAACAGAAATACAGAGTTGCAAATTTTATCAAAGGTTTTCTGTATTCCATGAATTTATTGGGCAATTTCTTTAGAACTGGGCCATTAACTTATTATAGGGACGATCCCTCTGTAGCAACCTGGGATAAGGCATAATGGTGGCTTATACTGTATTGATTGTACCAGTTCCCTCGATCCTTGACCTCTACACCACAACACCCATAATAAGGTTTCTTTTGTGCATGAGGGCTTGAATAGCTACTCATTTTTACACTACTGTAGTAATCTAGTCAAACTACACTGTAAAAAGTGAGGTAACCCTTAAAATTACTTTGTAATTACTGTGTAACTTAATGAAGTAAGGTTGGTTCGGAGATATTTAATATTACATTTTTATGATGATAATGTTACATATTTTTTTTAATTTTATTTTTAACATACTGTAATATCTATTAAAACCTGTAAATTTAGATTACCACAAAGTACATTTTTAAAATTTTACATTTAAAAAATGTACTTTTTAATTTTGTCATGCGTTTTAATTTGTATTAGTTTTTGTTGTTTTAAATATCTTAATTTAGCTTAAATTTTTCCTTTTCAGTTTTAGGAATTTTAGAACTTTTATTTATTTTTTATATTTATAAAATAAGTTTAAATATGTTTTTAAAGTTTGTTTTTCATCAAATATTTATGTTATATTTTATTTCATCTTTAACTTTTAATAGTTTTATAGATAATAGATCAAAGCTTTTTAATCGTTTTTCTTGTTTTAATAGTTTTAGTTTTAGTTTTTGTTGACAATAACAACACTGGTCCATGGTGTGGTTGATTTCAATTATAAAATATTCTAAAATATTTGGATTTTTTACCATACAAACATAATGATGCAGAAATGCGTGTCATTTTATAAAAAAATTCTTCTTCCTGCTGTCACTATGTAGTGTACAGGTGGAACTGAATTGACATGATCTAGTTGACACAGATACAAAGCAAAGAATAGAGGTAGAACTAATCGATTTGTCAACTAGTGGATGCCTATTGTGCATGGAGATTTTCATCTTCATAAGCATAGTTGTGGGCCTTATTTTTGAAGCACATTCAGATGAATGACAAACATATCAGGTTTTCAACTGCAGTTAGAGGAAGTCTAAAATCACAAGCTTAGACTGGACTCGGATTTGAATTTCCTTAACGTAGTGCCAAATCCTAATTAATTCATGAACTCTCATTTTTGTGAAAGTCTGCAGAAAGCAGCACTGCACTCTGTACTGTACTGTACCTTGGAGCAGAATTCTGAATTCTTGCTGTATCCTCTTACTGAGAGAGACCTACTGTGTGGTTGTAGTGAAGCGTTTGACCTTTGACCCTTCAGTTGTCTGCTCCTCTGTAAATAGGATTTTTACCATTTTAATAATTCATCCATTATACTTTTGATTCCTTGGGATCTTCATGAACTTTCAACTAGAATAACTGGGTTGGCAGGTTTCCTGCTATGCTCATAATGCAAATTTGTGGTTCTGTTTTGGAGGCGTTGCGATTTATGTAGTTATATGGCAGAAATACATTGGGAATATAGCTCAAGTGTTACAGTCCATATCATAATCACTTTTGATGCTAAAGCATAACTAATGAATGAAATAGGTATAAAGGATCACTGCCTTTGATGCTATGAATAACTGAGAGGTTTTGACAGCCATCAACCCACCGTAAAAACCCTTCTAAATCTTATAAAACCATTTTAGACAGCTATTTTTATGCTGAAGCAGCTCTACTAATTTCACATAAAGTAGGGCAAGCAGTAGATATAGAAACCATACTGTAATCCACCTCTCATGTATAAGGGGAAGTTTCAATGAGCAATCTATGTAGGGAAAGTTCCGTTTGTGGGAGCATAAAAGGATAAGTGTGGTTCGTAGATGTAAATGCGGTGTTGATGTTAGTTTGTTGTTTGTACTGAAATATGTTGTATTATCTTGCATAGTGTGCTTTTAATAATATGTAAAATTAGAGTTCATTGGAAGGTTCTGGACCAAAATCTAGTAAGCTTTCTATAAAGAGAGCATTTTAAGGTAACATACTGTAGGCTCTCGACAAGAAGGCTATTCATCTGAATTATTTTGCCTCATGTTTCTGGCCAGATTTTAAGGCTTGTATGTTTTGTGGAGAATGTAATCCCATAATGCATTGTGACAAGCTCTGAGGAAAAAAATTAATCCAAGGGAATGCATTTTTTTTTTTTTAAACAATACAAAATCTTACTGACCCCAAATTTTTGAATGGTTGTGTAATTAGTTTAATATAATCATGTGTGATACATGATTATAATTACATAACTGTTCAAAAGTTTGGGTCAGTAAGATTTTGTAATGTTTTTAAAGAAGTCTCTCATGCTTTGTAAGTCTGCAATTTTATGATCAAAAATACTGTAAAAGCAGTAATATTGTGAAATATTAATACCATTTAAAATTACTGTTTTCTATTTAGACATCTTTTAAAATGTAATTTATTCCTGTGAAGGTAAAGCTGAATTTTCAACAGCCATTACTTTAGTCTTCAGTCTGTTAGTCAAATGTTAGTGTATATATAAAATACATAACATACATATGATTCTATGTTGAAAGATACATATTAAAACAGTTAAATGTATTAGCTTAGCATCATGCTAATAAAAATAAGGTTCTACGACAGTTAGGATTCTGTGTTGTGTGGGAAGTAGGTGGCATGGCAGCTCGTTTTGAAACAGGGCTAAAATGCCCTAAATGAAAAAAACAAATACATAAATTTGAAATTCATTTGCATTCATCAAGTCATACAGTTTAATATTTATTCATGAGCAAAAGATTTCAAGTTTGTAGCACCAGATCAGCCTAAAACCTTCAGAGTTTATTGTGAGATTAGAAAGGTGCTGAGTTGCCGTTTCAGACCTTGCATAACATCCGACTTTTGTCACACCCTTGTGAATATCCATTAACCCTCTAGGCAAAACTGTTGCTTAAGATCTCAGGAGACCTGCTTCACCCCTCCCCACTGATCTATAATAGGGCTGCACGATAAATCGCATGCGATATTTAACGCGCATCTTGTCAGAAAGCCGGTTCTGTAATCAGCTGTAAATCTCCATCACGTGCGTGCTTTCACATTGAGCAGCATTAACTACACCGAGCCGTTGTTCACTGACGAGCTGTGCAAAAAATCGCGCGAATATGAACGTGCAGCCCTAATCTATAATGATTTATCATGCAGCCCTAATCTATAACCAGCAGGAATCTGAAATCCATCACTGTGTATGAAGTAACAGCACTGGTCTCATATCAGCCTCCAGAGCAAATCCCATCACTGTACGCACAGCCGGATCCCTTGCGGTGGCCCACCTAACTTCCTGTCTAGACATTCCTAATGAGTTTCTCTTTAACAATCCTCCAGCTGATTGCTCTGGTCTCGTGCACCTATGGATTAAGATCTGAAGGTTAAAATGTGGAGTTTGGGAGCAGAACTGTTTCCTTCAATGGTTTGTGTCCCTCAAGGTATATTTCACTCAAAAATGGAAATCCTGTCATTTACTCAGCCTCACATGTCATTCCAAACCAGTTTGACTTTTTTCTTCTGCGGAACATAAAAGAAGAAATTTTGAAGAACGTTGGGACCCCATTTACTTTTAATGTTTGGATGAAATATACAAACCCGCTTTGGTGTTCCACAGAAGAAAGTAAAAGTTTGAAGTGACATGAGGGTGATTAAATGATTTTTTATTTTTGGTGAACTATCCTTTAAACGACATCCTAAAACCGCAAACAATATGAAAGAATGTTGACTTAAGAAGATCTCCACATATGCTTCCTTGAAAACAAAGCAGTTTCTGGAAACTTAAGACATATATGTTTCACTTATTAGGAAAAACTTCCATATCGGGAAGGTCCTAAATAGATCACTCTGACATCCATATGGAGACTGTATCTTTGCTTTTGACCTTAAATAATCGGTGCTGATCATTAGCTACAGACATATTTTCCCATAATCCCACTGGTCAGGCCGCAAGGAGAGAGTGCACTTTCTGCATTGCACTGCAGCACTGTCAAAACTCTCGTTACACTGCGCCACCTTGTGGTCAGTTGTGGTAACTAGAAGCATTTGCTGTGACCTGACAGAAGCATCTAGAGTGACCATGCAGTGCTCATTAATTAGCTGACTAAGCTTTCCTTTAGACTCAGAAAAGTTTGTCCTTGTATAGAACAATGGAGCTGAATTTGCAGTATTCCGTATAAGCCAAGCGCGTGCTCTCCTCCCCCTCCTCCATCTCTCTCTACTTTTTTCTCTTTTTCACACAGGAATCTCCCCTACAGTTAAGAAGACAGAGATGGATAGTCCATCTCCTCAGGAGAGCTCTCCACGTCTCGGCTTCACACAGCACCACAGACCTGTCATTGCAGTGCACAGCGGTGAGGGGACAACACACACGTGCATATGTCTGTCTGTTCTGTCATCACAGGCCTGCACACACAAACACCGCAAATGGCTAGCTGGGAGGAACAAATATACTGTACAGTTTCTACTGTTGTGTTTGGTTATCCAAACTGTCTCTGCTAATATCATCATATCATGTACAGCCTACTTATATAAGGCCCTGTTAAAAAAAGATATGATTTGCAACATATTTTGATACCTTACATGTGAAGTGTACAAGAAAACATGTAGGGGCTTTAATTTAGCTATCGGGAATTGTTTAGATTGTGAGAAGTCAGAGTAACATACCAGAATAGAGCCACAAAAGAATGTTTTTTCAGGGCTTTAGTTATTACATTTTGATGAAAGATTATAAAGCCAAACCATTATTTCCTTGGGAATAACATGAATTGTTCTTAATAAGACCAGGAACGTGCATTAAAGTAAGTCGCAACAGATTTTTTTCTTCCGTATTGTGACACATATTCAGATTATTGAAAAACAAAAATTCCAGGGCAGGGACTTGGTTCTATCCATCGGTTGTTGATTGGATGGAGGCAGATCTGAATGCTGGTGACTGTAAGAAAGGGGCTGGTGAAACATATTAAATATGCACAGAGAAATCGTTCACAATTTCAATGGGCTGAGACGAGAGTACTGTCAGGTCGTTTCTTATAGTTGTACTGTGATCTGTCGTCTCCACAGCCTCACAGCTGGCTGAGTTATGCTCTAACAATTAGCCTGGCTGTTCAGATGAATTGGTGGAGCGTGTCAGCCATATGCTGCCTGCACTGAAACATCAAGCTGATATTACCTCTGCTGGGCTTTGCCAAATGTGTTACAGCATACAAAGTGTTCTGTAGAGAATTATGATGGTTAAATCTGACAGGGACGTGACAACTCAACAAAGAGCTCTTTAATTAAGACATTGGTTATACAGTATGCAGCTTTATCAAATGTGTCACTAAAATGTGTTATTGTGTTTGTTTATATACAGGTACACTAGCGTTCAGTTGTTTGGGGTTGGTAAGATTTTTTAGATGTTTTTGAAAAAAAATTACATAATATTTCATAACATTTAAAAGTAATGTCTTCTATTGTAATACATTTGAAAATATAATTTAGTTCTGTTATGGCAAAGCAAAATTTTTAGCAGCCATTATTTCAGGGTTCAGTGTCACATAATCCTTCAGAAATCATTCTAATATGCTGATTTGGTTCAATGTTGAAAATATTAACGTAACAATATTAATAGTATTTCAGTTTTTTGATAAATTAAAAAACTCAAAAGAAGCATTTATTTGAAATAGAAATCTTTTGTAACATTATAAATGTTACAAAACTGTCACTTTACTGTTTACTGTCACTTTTGTTCAATTTAATGCATCCTTGCTGAATAAAAGGATTAATTTATTTAAAAAACAAATCTTACTGACCACAAACATTTGAACAGTAGTGTACTTTGATGGGGTTATTTCAAATACAAAACCAAATATAGTTTGTTTTAAAGCTAAAATCCACAGGTATTGAAGCTGAAAGGAATAAGTCACAGAAAAATTACAATTCTGTCATCGTTTACTCACCCTCATGTCATTTCAAAACTATATGACTTTCTTTCTTCTGTTGAACATAAAATGAGATATTTTAATGAAAGTTCATGCTGCTCTTTTTCATGCAATGGCCAGGGGCTGAAGAGTACTAAAAAGAAGTAAAAACACCATATTGGCTGTCAGTGAATAATTCCAATGAATAAGGCAGAATATAATTGTGTCTTTCAGGTATCTCTCGGGGTCCACATCCCTCCTCGTCTCTGCACTTCCCTGGCGCTCCCATTCTCCCCCAGACTGCCTCCACCTACTTCCCACACACGGCCATCCGGTACCCCCCGCACCTCAGCTCTCAAGACCCGCTCAAGGATCTTGTCTCTCTGGCCTGTGACCCGTCCAATCAACAGCCCAGCCCGGTAAGATCATCCCATTGAGCATGCTGACACATCAGCTTTCATTCACACTCCAACAATCACAGATGAGGATATGTGAAAACGTATCCAAAATTACCCAAACATCAGCCTCAATTGTTCAGCTAAACCAACCAGCAGCCATAGTTCTGGTAGGACCCCATGTGGTCCCATACGTGAGCCAAGCACAGCTCTGAACCTGCCGTGTTTATTCATATTCAACACTGGATTTGTTAGTATGCCAAATTAAAAATGAGCTGAATTTGTATATAAAGGGGTCTTTATATTTTCCATGACAGTTAAAAACTGCATGGGATAAAACAGCTAATCTGAATCTCCTGATTTGGTTGAAGAAAAGCGCTGTTTGCTTATTTCACATGCAACGGGAGCATTTCTTAAAGGGACAGTTCACCCAATAATAAAAATTCTGTCATCATTTACTTAGCTTATATGTATACACACACACACACACACACACACACACACACATATACATATATATATATATATATATATATATATACATATATGTATATATATATATTTGAATGGAAGTCAATGATAACCAAAACTGTTTGGTTTTTCATTTTTCATATTTTTCATGAAATATCCTCTTTTGTGTTAATCAGACGAAAGAAAGTCATACAGGTTTGGAACGACATGAGGGGGAGTAAATAATTACAGAATTTTCATTTTGACTACTATCAACTATCCCTTTAAATTGAGAGCAAAAAAGGATCATTTAATTCTTCTGGCCAGAAAGTAAATGTAAAACAGCAAAATTGTGACTGTTTTTGGCAGAAAAAAAACATTAGTGGACCTCAAGGAGACAGGGAATAAATCCATGTTATGACCCCTTTAAATTATACCAGACGGGATGAATTAGGAAGTCGACTGCATGCTTCCTGTATCTGCAGTATATATTTGTGTGTGTGCAAGTAAGAGTGAGAGACAGATAAATATGCCATCATGTGCCCTTAGATCACTCTGATCTAATCTTAGCCAAGAAGAGCTGACCACGGTCTTGTAGAAGCAAGCAGTCTCGACATGGTCAGATTTCACCCTTTCCGTTAAAGCGACCTGCAGTCTAAACACAAGCGTCCATCAGCTCTGTTTCCTTCACAGATACTCACGGACAAGAGTTTCTCAGTGCCTGTGTTGCCCTGAGCAGATGAAAATCTATTTGGCTGGGTATATAACTTATCAGGGGCGTGGCAACCATGTGGGTGGAGTTTAGGAAGCACCCATTCAAAATCACTGCTTAAACATATTTGAATTTTTAGTGATATTTAATTGAGCATGCTTGTTTCTTAAAGTTAGTCTTAAAAACATGTTTATCTTGAATGCAGTGTCACATAAAATTAACTGATAAAATGTATACCTTGCCAAATGCAAAAATATAAATATGCCTAAATTCTCTTGTGGCATTTAAAATGATTTATTTTAGTTTTTAGTGTTTCATTTTTTATTTATTTAGACAAACAGTATAGAATTTTAATAGGGGCTGTTTATTGGTTTTTGGCCAATTATTGGTTATTGGTACATGAAAATAAATATCGACTTATCAGGTAGAATTTATAGAATTTTTTTTTTAATACCAGAGAATCCCTTAATACAATCAATAAGTTATGGCAACATTTGTTTTTCCATTACTTTAACTCATCAAATCAATTTAACCAATTTCTCTCCGTTTTTACACAATTTACATAAGATTAAAATTTTTAAGTCAGTTTAATGTAATTTAAATTGAAATAGCTTGTATAGCAAAATTGATTATACTTAAAACATTTAAGGCAGCAAATGAAGTTTTTTAAGTTGAAGTTAAAGTTGAAATTTTTTAAGGTGTATTTTGCAGTACAGCTATAGTGTCATACATTTGAAATAGCTCAGACACTTTATTTGAGTGTTGTTTCTTCTCATAATGACTTAATGATCCATAATGACCCAGGATGTCATCTGAGTAACATCACTGACTAAACGGGGTGAGCAGCTCTTGGGATCATTCTGCTTGTTCTGACCATGGATCACGAATTAGCACTGGCTGGATGGCTTCATTCTGACAGTGACATAAAGTACTAACATGAAGTGTGAATGACTTATCCTCGGGGTGCCTGTAGGAAAGTCGTGTGCCATTTCCACGTCAGGCAGAGAGAGTGAGAGAACAGGAAATACAGCCAAGTAGGAGGAGATCTCTGTGTCTAGGGGTGTTGCTGATGTTGGCACAAAAATGGGGGGAAGAGAGAGAGAGACACACATTTATGAATCTTGCCCTGTGGCAGCCGTGCCCCGCCGATTCTGCAGACTCGTTGAAATTCCCCCTACTGCAGTCTGACCGTAGCCAAGCAGTCACAAAGAACAGCCGCACTGACCCACAATGCCGCTGACTCACTCACCAGCTATTGTTGTGCAGGGCAGTGAATGTGCAGTTTTATCCCGCGAGAATGCGAACGAGAGCCAAACCCTCTGAGAGAGAAAGAGAGCATGATGGAGGGTTTTATGGATTTGCGGCCAGGGTAGAGCAATAGAACGATGCATAATGGGCCGTTCGCTAGAACAGTGTGCACAACGTTACTCTGTTTCTCCCACATAACTGCTGATGGTAGGAGGAGGTGGAGATATGAGACTGGACTTTAAAGTTTCATCAGATACCAAGTCATTTTTTCCACTTTTTGAAGTGGGGGGTGCCCCTGGCTCGGGAGTCTTGCCAAGCTCGGAGCCCTCTCCCTGGACAGCCCCCCAAATACGCATAACCTTTATTTAATTATACGAAAGTGAGAACTCGTGAAACTGTTACAGTGTCAATAGTGTACATGAACAATGTGTATTCTTTCTCCATGTTACCTGCACTTATCTCCGCTCATGGACAAATGGATTGAGCTCAGTGCATTATGGGTGTTGAAGTTTCCCTACCTTTTTTGCAATGCCACAGCCCTTTTATCTGTTTTTCTAGTCATTTAAGCAACATTTTTTTTAAACTTCACCTTTCTACTGCATAGACAGTCAAGTTTTATTAAAAGACCATCTTGTCAGTGGTGGATCATCCTTTAATTGAGCTTTAAGTAAGTGTTATATGATAATGAAGAAATGATCTCTGTGTTGAGATCACATAACCAGGCGTGTCTTGAAATTTAACAGTATTCAGAGCCGGTGGGGGAAGCAGAGAGGCTAATGTGGTGTAGAGGTTTTTTAATACAACAAATAAAATGTATTTTCTAATACTGTGTTCCATTCAATGTCAGATGCGAGATATTCCCACTAGATCTTGTACAGGTTGTCCTATTAGATTTTGTCTTATGCATGGAAAATTATGCAAAATGGCAATGCTGCAGTAGCATTTGTTTTGCAGGTATGCAAATATAAACAGAGATTGTTCTGTACTATTTTTAACCCAACTGTTTCTATAAACATTAGCTTAACAGGTATTATTTGTAATTTTGAAATAATTCCTTCTAACAATAAGGTATGGTGCTAGCAACGCCAAGGTCATTGGTTTGATTCCCAAGGAATGCATGAACTGATGAATACCTTGTATACGTTGAATGCAATGTAAGTCGCTTAGGATATAAGCGTCTGCCATTTATAACATAAAGGTAATAGAAATTAATGTTTACAATGAACTTATCAGTGTCAGTTTTGAAAAGTTGAAATCTTTATGTGGCGTTCTATTACACTTTTCCAAGTAGGAAGTTGGAAATTCCAATTTCTAAACTGAATGGAACACTGCATTAGTTCATCAAAAATGATTAACATCTTAAAGAACTGTTAAAATCTTCCATGATGTCAATCATAGTCCTTAATATGCAGAGATCTCAAAGAATTTTAGCATCGAAGGAAAAAAAACAGAGCTAAAGAGAGAGTAAGACAAACACAGAGACAGTAGATGCATGTATTGTGATGTTAGCTGTGTAGAGGCAGTGAGGTGTCCCTCCCCACAGTGGCTGACTATTGCCCTCTCTTCCTCTGCAGCTGAATGGCAGTGGTCAGGTGAAGGTATCCAGTCACTACATCTCCTCTCAGATGCTGGCCCCCCCGCTACCCCCTGGCCTGCCCCGTCTGACGCTGCCCCCAGAGTCCAAATCCAGCACCACCTCTGCAGACGCAGCTGCCAGCTCACCCACCTCCCCCAGTAAGTGGGACGCTTGCAACCCGTCCGTTTGTTCGCCCTCTCTGTCCCACCTCTGACAGGGGCACCATACCTATAGCCAAAAAACCAGACAGCAGCACACACAAAGAAATAGAGTTAAACCCCAGGATTTAAATTTTTAGAGTGATTCAATTAGCAAGAAACCTTAATCGACAAATGAAGATGGCTGGCTCAGAGTTAGTGGTCTGGCTCATGTCACAAAGAAACAACACACAGTTGTCTTGGCTGCTTTTAAATGGATAACACATTTTATCGTATATATATATAACAAAAGTTAAGTCTTTTTTTCTTGATAATTTTTAGCTTTTTCTTTCACTTTCACTTATTTTTTTAATTAAAAGCAACTTTGGTGAGCATAAGAGACTTCTTTCAAAAATGGTAGTGCATTTATTTACATTTTTACTTTTTTTGAATTAATTATTTATTTCTGTTAATAATCAGAATAAACAATGTTTCATGTTTTTTGTAGTTAATTTGCATAACTATTGGCTTTTTACAGTTGCCAGGCAACGTTGCAACTCTGCACATTTATATATATTTTAAAACAGCTTCAAAGTGAACTGTCTGTTAAATAAACGCTAAATTTCAGTGTTAGAGAAACAAAGAAAGTGTCTTTCCATCAGTAAACCATATAAGCACATATACATTTGGATGACAAGACGATCAGCTTTAATGGACCAGTGCTTGCTGCCCTGTCCATTAATCATGCTAATTTAATTATTAATGCAGAGAACAGCTCAATATGTTCACTATCTGCTGTGCTGCAGAATCCCAGATGATCAATCGGCTCGATACGCCATCTCACACAGTCAGACTCAATGCTCGACATGATTATTCAGCTAGAATCACGTCCCGTAAATACGTCAGCTTATCCAAAGGCCCGTTTGATAAAGATGGATGCGTAGATTATGTTGTGTGTTCCTTATTTACCAACAAGACAAATAGAATTTCCAAAGAAACATAAGAAAGCACATCAGCTTCCATAATTGCTGAGAATACAGTCTTTAAGAGATGAAGGCGCACATTCACTAACAACAGACTGGATTTACATAAGCAGACAACAGAATGAGCCTCTGCCACACAGAATATTTATTTACACAGTCTTGACGGTAACAAACAGAAACTGTGACCCAGTTTCAGCATCAATTTGGTGCCTGTGTGAAACAGATGCACGCCATACGCCCTTAAACTGCATTTTAGATCTCTACTGAATATAGTAATATTAAACTGTGTTTTAAACACTAAATCCACCAGGAACCAGATTTTGAAACTGATATCACTGCTTATACCTTACAGAGATTTGCGTGAGAATAACTTTATGGTCCCATTTCAATCCCAATTGCTCTCTTTCTCTCAGCATACTCTGCTCCCGGGACGCCACCTGCCAACCGCTCCTTCGTAGGAATTGGTTCTCGAGACACTGGCAGTTTGTATCAGGCACAGGTATCACAACACAAATCTCCATATACATTTTATTCACACACAAACTCACAGATCATCCCCCCTCAAACACACACACACACACACACACACACACCTCAAATGAAATTGTAATGCTTATTATAGACTAAACTGAATAACTGCATTTTAACTACTGAAAACTTTCTTTTTCTTGATAACTTTCAGAAACCTAACCACCATGAAAATGTTAAAAATTCAATCTTGATTTCAAGCTGTATTTGAAAATTTCCCTTGAACCCCAGTGCCCTGAGGAAACACTACAGCAGCGCTAGTCTGGACCCTCTGAGAGACCCAAGCCTTCTGTGTTCAATTATAGATCAGAAATGAGCAGATACAGTATCTACCGCTGGACCCTCAGCTGCCAAATGAAATGTAGCCTTTCACATTAAATATACAGCCAATGTAGATACAACACCTTAACCAATATATGGGTAATCCATAGAACGTCTGAGGAATTATTTAAAAAAATTTTCTGTCAAATCAACCAAATTTCAGAAACTTCCCTGGCTCAAATTTTTGATTTTGCTAATATTTTTTCTGAAGAAAGATAAGCATGTATAGTAATGAAAGCCAAAATATTAAATGTCATGGATGAATATTTACTGAGTAATCCGCTTTTTTGTAGAGGGGGGTCAAAATGGCAATTTTCACCTGAGATTCAGAGCCAATTTACAGGGGGCTAAAAATGACTTCAGAAAGATGGCAGCATCATAATGTTACTTTTACACAGAGATTGGTAGGTCTATTAGTAAAATCTGTTGACTTTAGCAATCTTTGTTGCATTATGTGCCAATTGTGACCGTTCAAAAATGGGGAAAGAGCACTTTTCAAGTGCTTTTTCTCCAAAGTTTGCAGGCCTGTAACTCAAAAAGTATTAAAGATATCTTAGTGCCCTTTTAGATTTTGGGTCTTTCTTTTCTTTTGGCATGTTTTTTAAGGCCCTATATGGCTTGGTTCCAGAGATATTGGGATCTCAATATGGCTCCTGGGGTAAATCGTTAAATTGTACACATTTTTAGTGGTCAAAAACCAAATGTGGATCAATTTGCAAAAATATGATACTTCTTTTCTTTTAAAGAGAAATGTCTGAAGAACAAATAATGTTGAAACTAGAGATGTATCTCATTTCCTTCTGTCAAAACAACTGCATTGAACATTACTGTCATAAATATCTTAAAGATATTAAAGATATCGCAATATGATTTTAGATTCTAGTTCTTAATAAACTTTTCTTTTGGAATCTTAATTTTCAAGGCCCTACGTCATTCAGTCCCAAAGATAGGGGGGTCTCAAAGAGGTTTCATATTGTTGAAAGGGGTCATATGATGCGATTTCAATTTTTCCTTTCTCTTTGAAGTTTTACAAGCTCTTGGTGCATAAAGAAGATCTGTAAAGTTGCAAAGACTAAAGTCTCAAATCCAAAGAGATATTCTTTATAAAAGTTAAGAGTCAACCACGCCTACCTAAATGGCTCGTTCTAACACGCCCCCACATGTCTACGTCACGATGTGGGAAGATTTGCATAACACCGCCCAAATGTTCACATAAAGAAAGAAGGCGTAACTTTTATTCTAGCTGTAGTATTGTTGCCGC